GTATTGTTCGATACAGCATTGTTCGATACGGTTACATGTATTGTTGCACCCCCACTTATCATTATCGTGATAAAACTAGAAATTATCGGGATAAATCTTTTAGTCCATATGGCCCATCCCCACTACAGACTGAGTTTGATACGGTTGTTACATGCTGTGTCTGCTGTGTTTGTGAAGGGTTCCAGACGGTGCGTGTCGGCGTYGTGGGCACTCCCATCGGAACGGTCACACTCTCGTGTGCGTACCGCATCAACCTGGCCTTCATGTCCAGCAGGTGACCCCGGCACACACAGTTCTTCCTCAGTAGCGGTGGTAAATTTGTGGAGCTAGAATCAGAGCTGAGCTGCTGCTCTGCTCTGCTCTCCCTCTGCAGGCAGTTTGAGCGGGCAGCTCCCATCATGGGGATCATCGTGGATCACTTTGTGGATCCTCCCTGCAGCAACCAGCATCCAGCCAACATGGGACATCCCTGCAACTACAGGTAGCATTGAGGGGGGGGAAAAAACCCAAACAAAACTAAAACTGTAGAAAGTTTTCAAGCGTGTTTGTGCGAGTGAGCTTCTGYGTCCTCAGAGCGCCGGATGAGGAGGACGGAGGAGCGTTCGCAGAAGTTCAGGACTCACAGGAAGTCTGCACCACCTCCTTCTCCACCTCTCCTCCCTCTCAGGTAAAAAAAAACAGATGAAGTAAACTCCTCCCTTGCGCTCCTTTTATTGCACCTTTTCTTAACTTGTCGGGACCTCTCTCTGTTTTTACGCCTGTTTATGGTTTCACTCTCTTCTCTCCCTTTTTTCTTGTCATGTTTTTACATTTGTTTGTGTGAATGGTCTCAGTGTGTGTGTACTCTGAGTCCCTCTCCTTCTAAACTGTCCAAGCCCCTCCCTCTGGACAGTCTGCAGCTCCCATTGGCTCCTGGACTTGTCACTCACAATGTGAGTCTATGCTGGCCRTTGATGGTGTGTGGAAAACCTGCTGAACTTGGCCGATAGCATTTCTCTTTTAGTTTTTATTCTTGTTGTTTTGTTTCCATCGCTCGTCCTGTAGCTTGTAGAAGCGTCAGTGTGAAGCTTTTCGACATTCACCTCTGTGGTTTTATTRTCGCCATCACTCGTAGCAAAGTAGTGAAGCTCTTCATGCTCGACTGGAGCCTCAAACCTTCCTGCTGCTTTGTGGTCAGCGTTTCCTCTCTGTGTCTCTCCAGCTGTACGCCTCCAGGTTATCCTACCAGCCCACAGCTTTAGGAGGAGCTGCYGAGTTCTGTCACCCTGCAGCCACCAGCAACCAGGTGAGGCACCAGCACCACACCTGACTTCAGTTCATTTAAAACAAAACAGAACAAAACAGTGAGTTGTTTTTCTGGAACTGGCTGCACGAACAGGTGAGTTCAAGTTGGAAAGCTTTTTAAATGAAACATGGAAAACAAGATTAGGAATGACTGCGTTAGGAAACATCTTCACCCAGATCAGGACTGAGTGAAAATATATATTTTCATGGTTTGTTCTGAATTTTGAGTGTTTCTTGTAAAACATGTGCTTCTAAGTGATGATAAATGTTCTGCAGAGGTTTATAATAACTAAGTACATTGACTTTGTTCCGATATTAAGTAGATTTTTTGAGGAGTTGTAATTTCATTGTGC